TCATTTGCTTCAGCAGTCAAATCAAAATGAATGATTAGTAGGTTAAATCCGTGCTACATGATTTTTTTGCTCTCTTTCTGGACCTTTAGTGGGCGATTGTTGACTGGTCGAGTACTGAGATCTATTCAGAGCAGCCGGAACTCGTCATTTTGTGATGGTAAAATAGTCAGACATTTTATCCTGGGTTGAGAGGGGGCGGCAAGCCAATTATTTTCTATTTCAATAATTCAAAGTTCAGAAACTAAACATCTCTCAAAAGTCGATTAGCTGCACAGCTACTACCGTCAATCATGGCTACCCTTTAGAGCAGTTCTAATATAATGGGATGATAACGTTAAGCTATCATTAAGACTAGGATAGATAATTGGTGATTAGTCAGTAGTAGAGTAATTTCACTGACTGTAAACTCTTTGTAGCTAAGGTTTGATGTACGCACATACAGCTCATTTCTATTTGTTAGCCAAAACGTTTGTCGAAGAGTTGCAGCTTGGGCAAGACGTCATTTCCGTGCGTTCTTTATATTTGGAATACTAATGAGTAATATATATTGGGTTTGTGCAGAAACCCGCCGGCCTCAAAAGATTTTGTTCCATGCGGGTATCTAGAATAAACAAGTAACTTGCTCATAGTAAAATGATGGTGAAGGACAGCTTGGAGGTTTCTGATGATATCTGATGAGACAATCAATTAAACTGCCACCACGTCGTATGAAACTTTTGAGCTCACTATTAAGGTCTTGTATACGGGTTGGTTTCAAGTTGTGTACCTCTCAAAGCAAATCGTACTCTTTTCTATCTTTTTTTTGTCCTAACAAGCTTACACTCAATGCCTTTTGCGAATATAGTTCCGATAACTGAAACAAAGTTGGTTGATGTAAATTGAACTTCAGAACAATAAACCATCCTACGAGGTTCAAGATAGGTTTTTAGAAACACTCACTAGGGGTTGGCAAGCTAAAAAACCCCAAAGAAGCCGTCAGTCATTGCATGCAATGGAAATCTAAGCTCGATGCATTCTTCTACATGTCAAATGCAGGGTTCAAGGTTACCCCAGAACTTGATCAAGTTTACTCATGGTACTATAATATTACCAATTTCTTCTGCCCAAAAAAGGTCATACACTATCAGCTTATATCTGACGATTGAGTACTGTTTTATGTCACTTACAGGGCTGGGCTGTGACTTGTTCCAGCACGTTTCATCGGAAGTCATTCAAATATGCATGGAGAATAAAAATGCAGAAGTGAATAAATTTCGAATCACCCGTTTGGGTATAATAATATATTCTATCTCCAATCAAGTTGCTCTGTGGACACTAAGAGGCTCATTTCTTCATCCAGCTAAGATTAGTAGTAACAGTCAAATATAGCTCCCAGAGCTTAAAGACTTTCAAAAGTCTGATTGCTGAGCTGTAAAGATTGGTGGGTTCTCTAGTTGGAACAAATTCTGTACCAACTTGAATGCGGTTGGTTTTCATATCATACCATACGTAGTTTTTTCAAACAGGATCATACCGATTAACCTTTTTGAAAAACGGTCGTGCGAGTATAAAGATCTCGGAGTTTGAAGACTATCTATCCTCTATCCCCTCAGTATATCCGTAGTCGTTATTCTGTCTGTGATGCAATAAACATTCACAGACTACACTTTGTTAGATCAATGAAGAATGCTAGTAATTGTCTTCATTAGTATGTATTCAAGGAGGTGATATCTTACGGTGTTTCAACCTATTGGGATTTGTTTCTGTTTACTTTTGAATTGTCATCTTCCATATATGCAGTGCCTTTTGAGAGTTTTATTTGGCACAAGCGGGATACATGATATAGTGTTCAGCTTTTTTGTTTTTTTCATAGTTTTGCGGCGCACAGCAGTCTCATTACTCAGTACCCTTAATAACGGGACGGGGGCTCTCAACTGATGCATCTGGACGGCTGGGCGGGAACTTTATACGTGAAGAGGTCGTTTCTCTGAATTTGAAACAGATTACTTGTTAGCAAGTGGAAATCCTCTTTTGCCTCAAAAATATGCTTAGTTGCTCTATTTACTGCATCTGCTCGGTTTAAATTAAAGTAAAGAATATTCCAACTCGGTATTAGTCATATGAAAAGGCGCAGAAGCTTGATTATTAAAGCTTTTCCTAATCTTCTCAGTAAAGCCCCCCCCCCCTGGGGAGAAGGAAGCTACTCAATTTAACCCTAAACGTCTTTCGTGTTTGAGTGTGAATCAGCTCGACATTTCAACAATTCTTTCAAGTGTTTGATAACTGAATTCTTGTACGTACTGAATACACCAGGTTTGATGCTGATGTACATCAATAAAACAATTCTGCTGAATATGATATAACATTTCCGATGCGAATTCTCCTGCAACAAGGACGTATCGGAATTTGCTGAAATGGTGGATAGGAAAATCGCTGTTTGTGCTCTCGAGATGAAACTTTCATGCTATACCCGACTTTAAATGGCTTGCGGCTCAAAAATATTATAATATGTGAATAATGTCTCGGGTCTTTTGTAAAACTTTTTCGTTTGTGATAGTTTTTGATAGCAGAAGATAATGTAGATATTCATAATACCAACATATAGTCAAAAATTGATTTCATAGCTTCGTGTATAATTCAAACATTCTGACAGTATCTGCTGAGCTTTTTTTGTGTGAGTGTAGTACCAACCCTGGAAAGTCAGACCTATTCCAGTTTTTAGCTTGACTGGCTTCAGAGTCTCTCAAATGTATTTAATCTAAATTTTCAGACGGACATCATTTCAATCAAATGTAACGCAGGACTACCTTGCTTTACCAATCCCAGCAAACACTTAACCTTCAGGTCAAGTTCGGTGTGTCACTAGACGAATTCATTACGGCGACAGTGCGCTCATTTGCGTTCCTCTTACGCTGATACAGCTCGTGAAACATTATAATACGTGAGTTGAAGAGCTAAATTAGTAATGCCTCTATTCTAAATCAAAGAAAACGGTTGAAATACTCCATTTTGCAAGCTTGAGAAAAATATAGAATTCAACTAACGAAGTTACCGTTTGAGTTACCATTTGAGTTTTAAGGTCTATATACTAAAGGATTTGTTTAAACGTTATTGTTCTCGTCCTGTTTGAAAAAATGATCAAGAATATATAAATTATTTTTTTTTATTAACCTACAGTATAAACATGTTTCCTATCCCATCCATCGAATATGAATGCAACATGAATTCCAACTAGTCTACAGCTTGCAGACCAATCTGAAAGATGAAGTAGTAACACTAAAAACATTAGAACGCTCATCGACACGCATTTAATAACGCTGGTTTTGCAACGACTGAAAATTTTACAGTCTGACGATATTGTAGCCATCTCAGTAGATAGTTGAGTTCACTTTGAAATAGATCGCAAGTGATACCCAATGAATTACCGCCCATAATTCGAAATCAAAAGCTGTGGGATCCATATTAATAGTTCAACGTATCAGTATCAGTCTTGTCACACAAGGTGGGTTCGAAATATCAATTGTATTTAATCGAGCCATTATGCACAAACACTTCGAATAAGAAATTGCGTCAATCTTCTTACACTGCAATCTCTAAATACCAGCTAACCATAGTATAAAGCCATCAATCCCATCCTGTTGTAAGGGCTAAGTGAAGGAAGCTACTCCAGCGAAAGTTTTTATCTCAGTGCTGCCACTGATTCCTTAACATTACGGAGGGCCAAATTTCCTCAACTCACGTTTACAATGTTTCAGAATTTAAAAAAAACTATATTTAAATGTTTAAGCTCGAATAGATATTGATCACCGTGACCATTCAAATTTTCTACCATATATATCACAGTCGAAAAATTGAATTGTTATTCAAAAGTTTGTTTACCTTGATTTGTTTGGACTGATCAAGATACTTAAAAACACAGGTTCAACCTTAAAATATGGCGTCAAGACGTAGAAACAAGAATAAAATCTAGCAGGAAAAGAGCGGGGTCTAGTGTTGGAGAGTTTGAAATCAAACTACCAAAGATTTAGTTCGCACATATATGATCATCGAGTCTGTCCGTTGAACTCAAAAAAGAAAATCGAAGACGAATTGCAACTCGTTGCTTGGCGACAAGCCAGTACTGAATAGTCATGCATACATGGCCGAGTGGTCCAAGGCGGTAGACTCAAGTTCTATTCTCAGTGATGGGACGCAGGTTCGAACCCTGCTGTATGCAGTTTTTTTATCAAAAGCCTTCCAGTTCTGTAGATCTGCGCCATATATGACTTGTTTGTTGAATCATTCGCTACTGGAACAGAGCTTTTGTTTGGCGAACGTGTTTATATTTAAGGCTTAAGCGTATGGACGCTTGAATGACCAATTTAAATGTAGCCCCACACTAGTATCAGATAGTCTTGTTGAATGGAGCATTTATAAAATTTGAAAGAAGCTTTTCGAGATTAACAGTCTGAGTGAGCACAATGATATACCAGCCGCTAAGAATAGTGCGCCAATAAAAATTGCGACTCCTTTGAAATCTTTGAAGAATCGCTCCACGTCACCTGCTAAAGGCAGAAATGCCCCACATATCATCGGCCCAAAAAGAGCTCCGATTCCACCGAATGTGAATAGTATTCCCATTCGCTTCTGATTTTTCTCAACACCAAATAATTGAGGGACGACAGTTGGAAATAAGGAAATCACAACTCCAGAAGAAAAGCCCCATGTTACATCAAAGATGAGAAAGATGACGTCAGAGCTGTTTGAGTTGAGCCATAGAGACAAAGGAAGAACACCTGATACTAACATGAATGGTATCAAAACATTAAGTCGACCAAACATATCAGCTAAAAAGCCGGGCAAAATTCTACCAAATAAACTGGCAGCATTCAAAACGGTGACATAATAAGCTGGATCGAAGAAAGATCTGTGTAGTTTCTGTGCTAGACGCTGTCCATACAGATCAATAAGAAACAAACCAGGAAAGAGCGCCATCTGTGAGATAATAAAAGCAAACAGCAAAATCAAATATGTCCGGCTTTTTAGTACTTCAGATCACGATAAAACCGTGGGCGATAAAATGACACGGAGTTTTCAGTTTTTTGAAGCTTGATGGGTAACCTAGGCTTTAGGAAAAGAATCAGTATTGCTGAGATTGGGATATAAATGAATCCCAAAATTCTGTTGGTCCAATTAAACCCGACGGCTGATATAAGCCTCCTGACTGCAATCGGCCAAATTACTCCACCGATACTGGAACCTGAGCTGGCAATTCCAATTGCAAAAGCTTTCTTCTTCTTGAACCAATGCATGGGTATCGTTAAGGCAGAGAAGTATATCATACCACTTCCAAATCCAAACAGCACTCCCTGCGTGAGGAACAACTGCCATATTTTGTTGGTTATGGACATCATCATCAATGAAATGAGCTGTATCAAGGCACCCAATGCAACGGTAAGTCGAACTCCAAAATAATGATGAAGATAGACGGTCGCAGTGCAAAAGAAATACATACATGCCGGTTGTAAAGAACCAATGACATTAATTTTGAATGCCTTCTCTCCAGAATACAACTCAGTTTGGTAGAATGATTGATATACTCCAAAACTGTTAACCATACCAAACGTACATGCCATTCCACACCAAGATGCCAAAACAACGTACCATCCAAATCCTCCCTCCGGGAACTCCTCCTCGTCAAATTCCATGGACTGTTTCATTGCGCGCTCTAAGTTCACGTCTAACTCTAGTTGGAGTTGAAAGCGTGAAAGTCAAGCCTTTTTATAGGGCCTATTCTGCACATAACGCTTTCACATCGCTAGTAGCGGCCCGCATGATGTGGTCCTCGCTAAAAACGGATCATCTCTATATTTTTTTAGTCTGAATTAAGTTATCTAGCCGCATCGCGATCCGCATTAATCTCCGCGAACGGACCGCTCGATGATAAACATATATTTTTTGGCCCTTGGATGTGTCTTATCAATTTGCGTCGCATCAAAGATTAGCTGGAAAGCCTTAAAAGAAGTGCATTTAACTATGGTCGGCCAAGACAGTGAATCCAAAAGATTAAGGGTTAAGAAGGCTTGTACGTACTGCAGGTTTCGGAGAATCAAATGTGATGGTGAGCGACCTTGTTTTCACTGCAGACGTCGTACTCAGCTTTGTGAGTACCCTACTGAGATTGGAAGCAACATATCGAAAAAAACTCACTCCAAGCATAATGGTTACCGCAGAGAAACAACTCAGGATGAATATATTTGCTATCTGGAGAACAAGATCCTAAATTTAGAGAAGAGCTTAATGAATGGATATCCAACAAATGCGCTAGGTACAGATAAAATGGAGAGCAATCTTTTGTCATTGGATGGAAAAAGAACCGGAAGAGTCACAAGATACGACGCAATTTTAGCTAATAAGTTGGGAAAATCTCTTTTCTTCGATTTACCTCCAAGCGACCGGGAAGGACTTTCTATTCCACGTCTTCAATTTTATGGATGGAACATGTCGGGAGGCCACTATCTTCATCCGTTGTTACTCGCAGTGCAGCCGCTCATTTTGAATCCAAGTAAGCAATCAGATCTTTGCGCTTGGCTGCTAGACTTCTTCTTCGGTAAGATAAACCCCTTATTTTGCATGATTCATGAGCCTGTATTCATGGACCAGTACCATAAGTTTATTAATGATCTAATAACGGCAGCAGATACTAAGGCTGCCAAGCTATTCAACGCGATACTCAACTTGATATTTGCAATTGCCATCAGATTTTCGGAAAATCATTCAACAAGACCAAAAAGGATCTCAGGAGAACTCAAATCTGGAATGGAGGAAGATCTATTTTACTCAGCATATGACATAGTGTCAAAACTAAGTTTTGAGTGGCAGTCCCTTGAATTAATTCAATCGTGGATTTTAATAACATTTTATTTAAGAGCAGCGCATCGTCAAACTTCTTCCTATACTTCATTGGGATCTGCCATTAGAATGTGTAAAGGAATGTTGCTTAACATTGAACTCACCACTAAGGCAATCGGAGATCAAGGATATGAAGAAACCAAAGCCAAAAGAATGTTTTGGTTAGTCTATACTTGGGATAGATTGTACTCATGGCAAAGTGGAAGACAGTGCGAAATCCAGGACGGGTCAATCGGTATAGAATTTCCCCCTTTGAATGGAACCTCATGTAGTGATGGATGGTTGCAGAAGCCGGCCCTTTCAATGATTTACTTGGGGAGATACGCAGGCAGGATACAACAACATGCTTTTGGAAACAAGAGTATCGATGAAACTTTCTTGAAAAATATTGCAACTGAGCTCTCACAATTCAAGATTTGGTGTGACTCAAATATGTCATGCGACGAATTTGATAGACTATTGTTGGATCAGGTATACTTAACTTATCACGACATCTTTTTGTCACTTTACAATAAACAGCTCCTAGGACTAATTGACTGCCATTCCTGCATTGATTGGTGCTCCTCCCATGTTTCTCTCCTCAGAGAGCACAGCAAGCAGACACTTGATATTTTCGAATGCATGAGGAGCAAGGGAGAATTGGAAATTCCGTGGTGGATGAACCTGTCTCTTCTATTCAACATTTCTCTGATAAGTGTTATTCTCATCTACTCCGGTATGCAAACCGAGGAGCTTGCTGATACTTTCAGGAGAGCCATCAGCTTGCTAGAGGCAGTCAAAGGAAAAGCCTCAATGTCTGCAGAGTGTGTGTGGGCGCTGAAAACTCTGAACCATATGTGTGTTTTGAAAATGCAAAAAGCAGCTAATACTTTGGCCCAAATTGGGATTAATCCCGGACCAAGTTCAGTGAATGAACATCGATTCTTACAATTTGATCAAGTCGGACGAGGACCTGATGATGATTCTATATTTGACTCTTCGACTGGTAGCTTACCTGAAATCAGAATTTCCAACATGTTAGGGCACGATACCGGTGAAAATGAATGTCTGAACTGGTTTGACCCTTGGTTGGATGAGGTAATATGAAATCATACATTTTTAACCCTAATGGAGTTACGTTCTACCTGAAATGATACCGATTACTTAGGTTGTACTTTACAGTCAACAATACTGTGACACATGTTCATATATGTTTTTAGTTATGTATGGCTAAATAATTTCGTGGTATCAAAGAAATATGATGGGGGAGTAATTTTTGGAGGCGGCAGAGAATTAGAATCGAAATGAAAAATTTAAAGAGCTGTAGAAAAGTGCTAAAAAAACTGAAATGCACAATTATGTAAGTTTGGAGAAAAATTGAATTGTAGGAGGAAATTTACGTGAGAGATGCGGATGGTCTTTCATGCGAAAGCATAAATGAAGATTTGAAAACTGAATGTGAAGAAGCAATAGCTTCTGCGCATTTGGGGTTCGATTTTCACTAGGGAGCTCTGAAAAGAGCTCTTCAAGGCCTCGTTGATTAGTGGAGAGAGTAAAGTTGTTATCGTCAGATACACTTTCTCTCAAGGCTAATTCAA